TCTCTTTGATCTGCTCTTTACTATTCTAGTTGTCCAGGTTGTATTGGTATTGTTACTGCTGCTCTCTCTCTTTTTTTTTTTTTTTGCATTTATAACCTGGGGCAAATCAGTGCTAGAGAACCTAAGAGAAGTCCCAACTTCCATCTGCTTCTTGGGAGCTCCAGTCTGGACATTTGGAGGACAGCTAGCTGTGTAAACAAGTGCTGAGCCTAGATTGTCTCCCATTCCAGTTCCAAACATGGTTGAAGAGCATTGTCAGACGTTGTCATTGGTGCAGACTTCTACCAATAAGCTGCTTCTTTCTTGTCCAGGGAAACTGACGGCGCTTTCCCTTGACCTTGTTTATTTAGGTGACCAGTAGAAAGATAGGGAGAGAAGACAGCAGCAATTAACACCAATTTGAGACATACTCGGGGGACTGCATCAGGGTGTTGCAGGAGGGCTGGGCAGGTAATGAAGCATCTGGGGTCAGCATCTGGTGTAGAATAGCCAAGGGAATATGGTGCCTTCTAAAACAGGGATAACAGAACTTGGAAACGGTGACAACACACCTTAATTGACATGTAGGAGTGCTAATTAAAGCAGTTTAAAAATGCATGTGTGATTTCAGCCTAAATGTCACAAGCAAAGAAAATCTTCACGAGGCACGACTCCCATTCTTTTCTTCTCCTTTTTTTGATTTAAAACTTGTTTAGCACCAGTTACCTGCTGAAGTCCAGAACTGAGCACATAACGGACAGACCTGATTTGTGACAGGACTGATCTGGGGGTGGTGGTGGTGAGGGGAGAGTCCCCTGGTTTAAAAATCAAGGAAGGTACTGTATCTGCCTTAGCAAACAAGCAAGCAATGACAGATAAGTTATAGCCTGAACTATGTTTCCCTCCATTTCTTGACCCTCTATGGCAGCGGTTCTCAACCTGTGGGTTGGGACCCCATTTGGGGTCGATCGACCATTTCACGGGGGTCGCCAAGCAAGGCTGTCCACCATTTTTTTCCCCTTTTCCGGCGGGTGCCTTACCTCCCTTGGGCTGGGCCAGCTGGTGGTCAGCCTGCTCCGTCTCTGCCGCTTGCCAGCTACGCCTCAGCTGGTGCAGGGGGCGGAACCACGCATGCGCGGCGCTCCCGGGAAGGGAAAGCCCTCGACCTACGACCGGTTGGGTAGTCCTCGACTTACGACCGGTTTAGTCCTCGACTTATGACCGGTTTAGTCCTCGACTTACGACCGGTTGGGGGTCGCGGCATTAAAAAGGTTGAGAACCACTGCTCTATGGGCATCTTCTCTACAATTGTGACCCACAGAAGACGCCTAATGGTAAAAACCAGCTTGTGAGTAATGCTAGAAGGTGTTATGGTTTTAATCTTTTCCCTATCGCTGCAGAAAATTATGTGCCTGATCAGCTTGTCCAAAACCCAGTTGGCATTTATTTGAACCTCTCCTCTTCTTTCTTTGATGGACTCATGAGATTTATCCTAATCTGGATTGGATCTACCCACCCAGAGAGGCTTTGGGTGACTATTTAATGAGACTTTCAGGGGAAACACATTTGCAGTTTTCTACAAGTTGGCTCATCTCTCATTTGCTGCAGGTGGAAAGGAAGCAAACCAATTCATGTGCTTATCCAGTGATTTGGTGTGTGTGTGTGTGTGTGTTTGCGTATTTCCCGACCTGTTGTTATTATTGTACGTGGTCCTGTATTGTTTACTCCTTTTCAAAACGGTTTTAAGCCATTGTGCACTGTTCGTTTCGATCGTTTTGGCAAAGTGCATTATGCATGAATAATAGTAATGATTTAAAGACACTAAAGTGGAAGAATATATTTTGATTTGGATATCAGCAAGGGAGCTGATTGTTTGAGCCCAGCTGACAAATACGAAGCGAGGATGGTGGAAAAGTTTCAGTTTGTTGATCTTTTTTCTCTCTTTTTGTTCCTTCTTAGGGAGGGCAAAAAAGGTGCTAAAAACCCACAGCTCTTCCAAGTTCTCGCTGTGCAGTTCACAAAACGGCACTTCACTGCCACCGCCTCCTCCTGTCCCACCCGGTTTCCAAGCTGTCCAAGATTCCAGCACCAAGCAAGAGTAAGACGGGATCTGAATGTTTGGGTTGTTTATCTTAATCTCAGAGCCTCTTTCTGTACAGTACATTAAGAGGATGTAAACCTCAGAAATGCTGGATTATCTCAGACTGGAGCAGTGTAGAACTCACAGCAATTAACGAATACTCTGAAGCAGGATCCTAAATATTACGGAGGATTGCATTTTTAAACCAAGTACCAAAATTAATATTTTTTTTTAAAAAAAAGAACTTGAATTAAATTAAGATATCAATAGAAGTGAATATATGTAGGTCAGGGTTAAATTATGGGAATCCTTGGTGCTCTCTGAAGTTGGTGGTTGGCCTGCAGATGTTTCATTAGTTAACTAGGTAACATCATCAGTGTTAGTGAGTGTGGGGTTAGCTCCTTCTATATACAGTGGCTTGCCCTACTACCAGTGTTGTTGAGGGCGTTGTTTTCTCCCTGGTAAGGAGGAGGAGCTAATCAAGGAGAAACCCACATCCCCACCAACATTGGCAGGCAAGCTACTGTACATACAGGGAGCAAACCTCACACTCACTGGCACTAATAATAATAATATAGTTGGAAGAGACCTTGGAGGTCATCGAGTCCAACCCCCTGCTCAAGCAGGAAACCCTATAGCATTTCAGACAAGTGGCTGTCCAGTCTCTTCTTAAAAACTTCCAGTGTTGGAGCATTCACCGCTTCTGGAGGCAGGTTGTTCCACTGGTTAATTGTTCTAACTGTCAGGAAGTTTCTCCTTAGTTCTAGGTTGTTTCTCTCCTTGATTAGTTTCTACCCGTTGCTTCTTGTCCTGCCTTCTGGTGCTTTGGAAAATAGCTTGACTCCCTCTTCTTTGTGGCAGCCCCTGAGATATTGGAACACTGCTATCATGTCCCCCCTCATCCTTCTCTTCATTAAACTAGACATACCCAATTCCAGCAGCCGTTCCTTATATGCTTTAGCCTCCAGTCCCCTAATCATGATGATGTTTCCTAGTTTGGTAATGAAACATCTACATGCAAACAACCAAGCTCTGAGCAGGGAGTTGGACTAGAAGACCTCCAAGGTCCATTCCAGCTCTGTTATTCTGTTAATAACTCTGTTAAAGAGCACTAAGAAGACATTGTTTTTAAAACACTTTCCCTCCCAGTCAGTTAGGCCAGTCAAACTGCCAGCCCACAGGCCGGATGCATCACGCCGGATGCATCACGCCAAAACCGCGCCTACCCCATTGCCGGCAACGGGGGAAAAGTCACGATACGTCGCGACACGTCACATGACGTTGCGAGTTTGACACCCCTGAGTTTATTTTATTTATTTATTTATTTTATTTTTTTATAACTTATATGCCGCCCTTCTCCCCACGGGACTCAGGGCGGCTCACAGCATGTTAAAACAACACAACACATTTCCCCTATAAAAGCCAATTAAAAACCAAATATTTATAGCTGTGTCTTATTAAAATCATTAAAATTGTCCCTATTTAAAATTGTCCCTATTTAAAATTCAGTTAGGCTAACAACTGATGACCAAATACTTCAACTCCACTGTTTTGCTCATGATACTTGAAGAAAGCTCAGGTGAGAATTAACAAGATGGTGGTTGGCTTGCCGAACAGCATCTTTTCTGCTTCTCATCTAACTTTTGATAGAGATCCACCTTGCAGCAGACCCAGAGTTCACCCTATGCTGACTCATCTTCTAGTTGTGCCAGATGCTAGAATAAATTGCCTGCTACTTCCTCTAGCACCAAGTAGGCAAATCTACATACTTTGCATATTATTCACAGGCACCCCCTATGATGGATCACCAGGGTGGCAGGAACAAATGTGGTTGGGAAATGAATCCCAACTATCCTGTCTCCCTATTTTGCACTTAAAAAGCTACAAATCATGGGATGAATCCGTGCCTGGCTAGAAGGGAACATTTCTCATTGGACGGGGCAGCCCTTTGTACAAGTGCCCAGCTATTTAAGTAAATGGGCAATTATCATTCCAGGCAAGTAAATCAATCCATTAGTGAAATATCAGCTGACTCCATCCTTTTTTTTTTTTTGCTGCCCCTTTGAATTCTCACATTTATGTAGAGAAAAACGTTGTCCTTGGATCTTGCATGAAATAATTTTGGTGTCATTCTAAATTTATGGGCAATTACACAATAATTGACTGCTCTATTGAAAATTCATTTGGTTGCAAAGGAGAGCAGAGTAGGGTTTGTGTAATGGGAGTGACGGAGGTACATTTCCTGGGGTTTCTCCTATCTTTGACATCAGGCTGCTGCACATGTCCCAAACTTTGCTTTCTGGTTGTGGAGAAGAAAAGGTTGGTAAGTCCACTAGTTCAGATGATCCCAAGATTACAGATACACTTAAATAAGAGAAAAAGGGGGACAGGTCCTATTTCACATAAAACGCTTGCCCCTTTTGTTTAGCAGGCAAAATATGTTTGCTTGCCCAAAGAGCTGCTTGAGTATGGAACTAAACTCTGAGCTGGATGGATGAATTTCAATGTCTGTATATCTGATTAGGATTATATTGGTTAAACAGAATAAGTCAACATGATTCTTCATCTTGCTTCTCTGTTTACAAAGCATGATATCTGTCTTACATGTGTAAATTCTGCGATGGCCATTTCCAAGTGAATGTTTTGTCTCATTAAGGCAATTTGGATCCACAGTGTTACACTTGGTCTATGACGTGAAGATCAGTTGGATTGAAAACATGTTATTCTACCCTCCTCCTCCTTTATTAGCCTACTTCTAATGGCAGAATCTTGCCAGACTAGAACTTTCTGCCCTAATAGATATTATTAGGATGGATGGACTAGAAGACCTCCAAGATCTTGATGATGATGATAAAGTTGGAAGGGACCTTGGAGGCCATCTAGTCCAACCCCCTGCTCAGGCAGGAAACCCTATACCATTTCGGACAAATGGCTGTCCAGTTTCTTCTTAAAAACTTCCAGTGTTGGCGCATTCACCGCTTCTGGAGGCAGGTTGTTCCACTGGTTAATTGTTCTAACTGTCAGGAAGTTTCTCCTTAGTTCTAGGTTGCTTCTCTTTTTGGTTAGTTTCCATCCGTTGTTCCATCCGTTGCTTCTTGTCCTGCCTTCAGGCGCCTTGGAGAATAGCTTGACTCCCTCTTCTTTGGGGCAGCCCCTGAGATATTGGAACACTGCTATCATGTCCCCCCTCGTCCTTCTCTTTGTTAAACTAGATCCCTTCCAACTCTGTTATTCTGTTATAATTGTTAGATTGAATGATGGGAGTTCCTTTTTTTTAAACTTCTTTCTACTTAAGAACACATAATCTTAGGGGAGTGTTGAATATGAGAACCTAAAAACTATACTTCTAATATACAGAAAGGGTATGTGAACAGAAGCATCATAGCTATTTTGATTACTCTTCTCTCTAAAACTGTCTAGAAGATGTTTAGAAGTGAACATACTGCTGCCTCTTAGTGACTCTGCCCCATCTCCTCTGGCTTTCTGACACTGCAGCATTTTGTAGCAGAGAGGAAATGGAGTTACTTAATTTTATTTATTGATTTAAAAATCTTTCTAAGTCACTTATGGTTAGCATAAATCCTTTGTGATGTACCAAGTAAAAATATAAAGCACGAGTTAAGCAATTGCATAAAATCCAATAGAAGCATTCATATAATGTTGCTAAACTCAAGACAAGCAACAAATATCCAGAGACGGGCTTGAGCAGAGAGAGAGGCCATAAGGATGAAGCAGACTCATTTTAATTTCCTCTAACAATTATCTTGTTGAGTGGATATCTGTGTGATGTCCCTTGGAAGGTAAGTTGACAGCTGTAGCTGAAATTTGAATAGGTTTTGTGCTACCCAGTCTGCCTGCTCAACTAAGTGGTACGTTTGTTTTGTTTTGTTAGAACAAGTAGATGACTTCTAGGTAATAACAGCAGCCTGGTAGTGTCTATGTTGCCTGAATCATCTTCACCTCTGCCTATCATTATGTGAGCCAGCAAGATGCTGACTTTAAGTTCTGAGATCTAATGGATGGAAATCAAGGAGAGAAGCAATCTGGAACTGAGGAGAAATTTCCTGACAGTTAGAATAATTAATCAGTGGAATGACTTGCCTCCAGAAGTTGTGGGTGCTCCAACACTGGAAGTTTTCAAGAACAGATTGGACAACCATTTGTCTGAAATGGTGTAGGGTTTCCTGCCTGAGCAAGGGGTTGGACTAGAAGACCTCCAAGATCCCTTACCACTCCGTTATTCTATATTCCTAACAATATAAATGAAATGCATAACTGGAAAAGTATTATTTACAGTTCTTTGATGATTAGAACTGTAGCAACACCTGGAACCTTTTATCGGACTTCACACAGGAATGCTATTTTTAAGGTGTTTGTTTCAGGTTTGCGTAAGGTGGCAGGCACAATGTACTGACGTGCAAGTGACAAAGGCTGTTGCCAACTTTGCCTGCTCTTTAGGGGTAGGGAGAGATAGAGAAGGGCTGAGGGACAGCTTTTCAAGTGATGGTGTAGCTAGGGGGTCCTCAAACGTGGCCCTTTTATGATTTGTGGACTTCAACTCCCAGAATTCCTCAGCCAGGCACGCTTCCCATTCTGAAATCACTCACAGCTCCTGGCAGACTTGTAAAAGAGAGATCTTCAGTTCAGGAAATCTGCTATAAATATGTAACTGGGCCAAGGAGGTGAGAATGGTAGGCTGGATACACTGTCAGGTGGTTGCTACCTAGCTCGATATGCTGGGAAGGAGTAAAGGTAAAGGAGTCCCTGCGTATTTTACTCCGCTAGTTGTGGCCTAGGGGCAGTGCTCACCTCCATTTCAAGGTCATTGAGCCAGCATCACCTTTCTGTGGTCATGTGGCCAGCATGACATCACGGAGCTCTGTTACCCTCCCATCAAAGTGGTACCTATTTATCTACTCGCATTCGTATGCTTTCAAACTGCTCGGTGAGCAGGAGCTGGGGCAAGTAACGGGAGCTCACCCCATTGTGCAATGCTCGGGTCTCAAACCTGGGCTGCCGACTTTCCAGCTGACAAGACCAGCATCTTAACCACTGAGCCATCGTGCCACCCCTGAGGAGAAAAGGAGTGTGAAAAATGTTCACATTTCTAAGTTACTAGTATTCAAATGCTCATTAAGTGAGAGGACTTGAAGGGAATCTGGACTCTAAGATGCTAGATGAGTCTTCCCTGGTACCCTCAGGTTTATAATCAAGACCACAAATTCTACAATTCCCATTCACATGCACCAAGACGTGTATGTATACTCCTCAAAACAAAATTAGCTGAAAGCATAGAGAAATGGCCTCTTTTGTCATATTTTGAGTTGTTCTTTTTGTCATTTATTTAAAGAGAGAAATTATTTGCCAGTCATTTACTGTCTGTTTCTCAGGTGCTCCTGTACATGCTATCTTGATCCTCCAGAGGACTTCATGAATCAGCAGCTGGACAAGGATTCTGTGAAGACGATCCAAGAGTCTCCAGATGAAAACCAATCCTTCCCCACCTTGCCTTACAACCAGCTTTCTGGAGTTTCAGTCCCCGTATCTCTCAGCGATGACCAGGAAACAGTTCTTACCCCAGAAGAGGTAGCAGAATACCTAGAACTCAGCACAGAAACTGATTGTCAAAGGTAAGCATCTACCAAACATCAAAGTTCAACGTTCAGTATGAAGAGTTTATGTGAGAACAGGCATAGTCCAGCATGGGACAACTTGGTGAGACCAATTCGCCACGGTCAGCTCACCACGGCCAACTCAAGGCAGGACAACTTGTGGTGGGACAATTCGACAATTCAATTTAAGTATTTAAAATAATTTTAAAAAACATTTTAATTTTTGTCATTCACATTTCATTTTGTATCCTTTCTTTAATTATTCTATTCCCCCGTTTCTTTGATATTAGTGTCCTGTCGTTGTTCTGTGGTGAGTTGTCCTGTGTTGAATTGGCTATGGAAAGTTGTCCCACAGTGAGTTGGCCACAGTGAGTTGGCCATGGCAAGTTGGCCACGTGGAGTTGCTGTGCTGAGTTGGTCATGCGGAATTGTCCTAGACCCTAAACCAGTGGTTCTCAACCTTTTTAATGCCGCGAACCCCAACCGGTCGTAAGTCGAGGACTAAACCGGTCGTAAGTCAAGGACTAAACCGGTCGTAAGTCGAGGACTAAACCAGTCGTAAGTCGAGGACTACCCAGCCGGTCGTAAGTCAAGGACTTTCCCTGCCCGGGAGCGCCGCGCATGCGTGGTTCCGCCCCCTGCGCCGGCCAAGGCGTAGCTGGCAAGCGGCAGAGACGGAGCAGGCCGACCACCAGCTGGCCCAGCCCAAGGGAGGTAAGGCACCCGCCGGAAAAGGGGAAAAAAATGGCAGACAGCCTTGCTTGGCGACCCCCGTGAAATGGTCGATCGACCCCAAATGGGGTCACGACCCATAGGTTGAGAACCGCTGCCCTAAACAGTCGGCCCCTTGCGTTCAGAAACATGGAGTTTGATGCATCTTTCAGATTTAGTATTCCGTCCGTGTCTCCTTCATCTAATCCTAATTTTGAATCGTTCTATTTTTGCTTCAAGAGCTTTATTTTTAAACAAGTGCACATAAGATGGCATATGGCATATTTATTTTAATGTATTATTTTGCCCAATATGTTCTCCTTTTTGCATGCTATACGTTTTTAGGTTATTTTTAATTCCCAGTTACGTGCCTACATGCAGATTCCATTTATATATGTATTTATAGTCAGAAAAAAATGGAGATCATGCATGGAAACTCTGCGAATATTAAAATTGAAACTTGGTTATTCTTTAACATCCCCAACACAAAGTTGTGGTTGAGTCAAGCTCTTCCTAATGAAAGAATGAAGAAGTGGTCAGTGGTACATCTGGCCTTGTGGCTTCAGGATTATCCGTGAATATTGGCCACATCCCAGTCTGATTCTATGCCTCTTTCTCTTCATCTTGTATGTCTATGGAGATTCTCAGTCATCCAGGTCGTGGTTGTAAATATGAGTATTTACAACACAGAACCTTCAGTTCTAAAAAGGTTCCACACCCATTTGCACTATTCAGCTGACCCTGAGGGCACAGATAAACCTCCAAGTGGCTTCAATGACTCTCAGAAAGAATACTAATGACCAGATGACTGCAAAGAATATAAATCCTTCCATTCTCCACCATTCAGTCAGAACCCAAGAAGCTTCTTGGATGAGAAGAGAAACGTCTTCAAGCAAAAACAAATAAAGTCCAGTTGCCTTTTGAAAAAGCACTTTTGGGACTTCGCCTTGTAGACAGACTCCATGGAGACCCAAAGACCTCCAAGAAACCCTGGACTTAAGGAAATTGCACATAAAGCCCCAGCTCCAGCCTACCAACTGCTGAGACAAATGTCCCATAACTGCTGCTTTGGTGGTTTGAGGACAGCTTGTCCCATAAGGCTGAGTCCTTACACTTTGGTAACTGGGGCTGTGACACGAAGTAGCAGATTTTATGGGAAGCACAGTGACTCCACAGAGATAATTACAGCTCTTTGTAAACCCTAGGCGGGCTAACGGCTGCCAACTTAATGTTTTCGGCAATGTTTAACAATCTTCAGCTGATTCTGGTTGCCCGTGACATTCCAAGCCACATCTCCTCTTGAGGCATAGAAAAATGTACTGGTATACTTCCTTTGTGCCTGCAGTGGCAGGGTTATTTTAGTTTTGACAAATATAAAACTCTATCTTCTGCAGAGACAAGCTAAGTGATTTTTGCGAGAAAAAAAAAATCTCGTTAAAGTTGTAGCCTAAGTATTCAAAAGCTATTCAAATGCTTAACTTAATTTTACTGCAAAACACACATTTTAGTGTTCTGCTACTGCCTCTGCAATTTAATAGAACTACAACTATTAGAAGACTTACTATTAGTTATTATCTCTGTGACCTCCCATTCCATCTCCCATATAGAACAGTGTTTCTCAACCTCAGCATCATGAAGAGGTGTGGACTTCAACCCCCAGAATTCTCCAGCCAAAACATGCTGGCTAGGGAATTCTGGGACTTGAAGTCCACACCTCTTCAAGCTGTCACAGTTGAAAACACTGCCATGGAGTTTTACATTCCTTCTACTATACGGATGTAAGAAATGGGCTGCTTTAATGAATTTCTCATGGATGATAGAAATTCCAAGACAATCTTTTGTGCTCATCTGCCTGTAGATGCCACCATCCAAAGCATCCATGTAAGTAGGCAGAACTGGATTTTAAAGTAACACAGTTCTGAAATCCAAGCCATTATGAAGCCAGAGTTGGTTAGAGTTCTTGGGCTAAGTGTTCTTTCTACACTGGATATGTGCAATCCATTTGGAACAGAAGTTCCAGAGCACCTGCAAAAAAAAGAGGTACTTGATCAACCACGCTCAGAGCTCTTTTTACATTAAATTACCTTACCACATTACAATCTACAGTCTCCAAAATAAAACTGCCCGATAAGAAAGCAAAATATTTTATTTGAACACATTATTCTTATTCTAAACATTGTTTTTGAATGAGTTGCAAAAATCTGTGGCTTGGTCCCTCACCCCAAAGTCTTGAAGAATTCCACATGGCCAAGTACGGAGACACAACACAAGCAGATCTGCATCAACTTGTTTGCCCCTTTTGTGTTCAGGAGGATAGGCCCAGTCTTGGAAGCCTTTGTGGTCCCTCTTACCTCTGAGGTGGGCTTTCTGGAGCATTCGCCACACCCTCTTTTAATGCTAGTCTGCTATTTCTGAAAACTTTAGGGCAGGATGTGGGTTGAGTGCAGTGTTTGATCTGGAGGCAGTTGCATTCAGGGCTGGTGACAAAAATGTTTCCCATCCCTTACATCTGAGCTGTGGTTACGGAGTGGTGAAAAACCCCAGCAGACAGTTATGCATACATATATTGTGCCCTATAGATTGGTAAGACAGGGGGAGGAGAGGATTTGGTTGCCATGCAAATGCCTCCCTTGATGACTGAAACACCTAATAACTTTTAAAACAGCTTTTAACTTGGATTTTGAGGGATTCTTTGTTAGGTCTGGAACCTAGGAACTGAAGATCTCCTAGGTCAGAATGAAAAGAGCGATGGGCTCTTTCTTTCTAGGTGGGATCTGGGGGCAAATATCCAGGGGGTTCTACTTCAGCAAAGGTCCCCACGGTGGGTGAATTTCTCTACCACATTTAAAGTGAACTAATACATTTACCTGTCAAAGAAAGGTAATGGGGATAGGACTCTGTAAGTCTTCCATATCCAGCTCCATAAGTGGAGTACCATGAGTGGTAAGGTTTCCTTACCAGAACAGCAAGATGATTATGGAGTGAATTAGACTGAAATGTAGAAACAGTGTTGTTGTTGTTCAATTGCTAAGATGTGTCCGACTCTTTGTGACCCCATGGAGCATAGCATGCCAGGCCCCACTGTCCTCCACTGTCTCCTGGAGTTTTCCCAAGTTCACGTTCACTGCGTCAATGACACTCTCTAATCAAGACACTATCTAATCATCCTCTCATCCTCTCATCCTCATCCTCCCTTTCTCCTCTTGCCTTCCATCTTTCCCAACATCAGGGTCTTTTCCAATGAGAGAAATATGGAGGAGTATTCAACTGTGGATTATCCCAGAAATTACGGTCACGGTGTTAGTGGAAAACAACATGTACGTTCTTATCTTGTTGGTTAGTCGTGCGAAGCCTTTGTTATATTTTGTTTATTCTTTTAATTGCATTTTTGTTTTGTTCTATAAGGTTTTATCATGCAGGGTTTTTTTTTCTTCTGTCTTGATGACCAGCCTAGCAGAGTTATTTATTGAAGAAGGGTGGCCTTGTACATTTTCTAAATAAAGAAATGAAGTGAAGAACAACATGTCCTTGTTTAAGTGGCATCCATCTCGTTAATTTAACATCCTCAGTGACCTTGTATTTTCACTGAGCTGATGAGGAATCCAGACATGAAGACTCTCACATGGTTGCTAGCCAAAATAGTCCTCTATAATATTGGTTTTCCTTTCTGGGTCTCGGTAGCTGAGCCAGCATTTTCACCTACATTTCTCCTCTCTTCAGTACAGTAAACAGCAATGTTATTTCTATGGAGATCTGTGGCCAGTCTCTAGCACGGGATTATTTGCATTTGCTTAAGACAGTGTTTTTCAACCTTGTCAACTAGGAGATTCATGGACTTCAACTCCCAGATTCCCCCAGTTAGCCGGTATGGTGGCTTGGGAATTCTGGGAGTTGAAGTCCACATATTTTCCAGTTAAGAAACACTGGCTTAAGAGATCATGCATGCTTAGTAGAAAGGTTAAATTCCTTCTCAGCTTACCAGTTATTTATTGGGCAGCGTTGACTAAAGAAAGCAACTGGCAAAATGAAGATGGTTAAGCAGACAGTATAATAAAAAACATTATTTTTCCAATAAAGCTTTTAGGGACAGCATTAGTCGGGAGGGTTTGTGGCCAGGATCCATAGCAAAAAGGGTACAATTTTTAAGGGGAAAAAAAAGATTTCATCCACAAAGTACTTACTGTAGGTGGGAAAACAATTTTTTTTAATAGCATGACTTTTAATGGCATGACTTTTAATGGGAATGTATGTTGGTGGAATTGGAGTAGAGGTAGCAAGTAACCCTTAAGGCTGTTTGTTAGCACTGTAACGTGCTGTGGACTGTTTCATTCCATTTTTGTAGATAAGCAACACACACACACACTCACACGCACACACATCCCTAATCCATTCAGTTCGGCTGGGCTTGCATGAGAGAAAATGACTGGGCAGTTTGAAGGGAGACAGACGCACAACAGATTTTCCTTTCTTATATTTTCTGCTGTTTAACTCTCGGAGTTGTGACAGAATGAACCCAAACAACTCATCACATGGAGTGATGTGTGTTCCTTCTTCACCACTGGCTGAAGACCTCCAGTAATTAAGTGAGAAGAAGGAGATGGTTCCATCTGCTTCCCTTCACTACTGCACCCCTTATCCTGTCTGAAACTGCACCCCTTATCCTGTGGGGTGGGTGTTAGGGATTGACTGACAGCATCAGAAATGGTGGTGGAAAAGCTGCAAGAAAGATTAGCCACAGAAAAATCCTCTTTCTCTGATGATGACCGCCATCATAGATGGATGTTGTTGTTAGTTGCGAAGTCGTGTCTGACCCATCGCGACCCCATGGACAACGTTCCTCCAGGCCTTCCTGTCCTCTACCATCTTCTGGAGTCCATTTAAGCTCACGCCTACTGCTTCAGTGACTCCATCCAGCCACCTCATTCTCTGTCGTCCCCTTCTCCTATTGCCCTCAATCTTTCCCAGCATTAGGCTCTTCTCCATTGAGTCCTTCCTTCTCATTAGGTGGCCAAAGTACTTGAGTTTCAACTTCAGGATCTGGCCTTCTAAAGAGCAGTCAGATGGATACAACTATAGTATTTCCAGGCTGAAATCTCTTCCTCTAATTTGGCTGCCCACCTTTGAAAATGTCTATGAAGATGCTTAATCATCCAGGTCATGATTGTCCCAAAGGTGCTTTTCCAAAAGGCAACTGGACTTTTGTGTTTTTTTTTTCCTTGAAAATGTTTCGCTTCTCATCGAAGACGCTTTTTCAATTCTGATTGAAGAGTCGGAAGCTTTTATTTTTCTGATGCATTCACAGGGTGCTTGTTTGTTTGTTTGTTTATATTTTGTTATGAATCTTGATGCAGTGGTATTACAACACAGGGCATTTTTTTTCCTTTTGATCCTAATGAATTGCGATTTTCTTGTTTTATTTGCTGGTTTATGACCGGATTAAAAAAACCGATGGATTGAAGTTTGAGCTCAGGTTGCTGCAAGGATGAAAATTAGCAATTCCCCTCTCAGCATTCACTGCAGGCCCCATCTCCATCCATTTGCCATTTTTAGAAACTGTAATCAGTGCCAAAACACATTTAGTGCCTTGGCGCATCGGATGCTGAACTCTTTGTCCTAATTTTGTTCATTTGCTAGTGCAGCTGTTGTAGCTACTGCTTTGGCTATTACGGTTTGTGGCCCAATCAGCCAGATGTTTAGACTGGATTTGGCATTGTTATCCACCTATCAAGTCTTCTCCAAGGACCTGCAATAGGCCAATGTTGCTATTAGAAGTTGGTGTTCAAAGGGATTGTGGCAGGATGTAAGCTGTTCTAAGTAAAGATGCCTTTTGCAATTGACTGATGGTGGATTTTTTTCAATGTCAGTGACGGTATTCAAGAGGTGCTCCAGTTATTTTGGGATTTTGCTTTGTTCATTTGCTGCGGCAAGTGTGGCTGCTGTGGTGACCCAGTGGTTAGAATGCATTATTGCAGGCTAACTCACTGCTCACTGCCAGGAGTTCGATCCTGACTGGCTCAAGGCTGACTCAGCCTTTTATCCTTCTGAGGTCAGTAAAATGAGGACCCAGATTGTTGGGGGCAATATATGGACTCTGTAAACCTCTTAGAGCACTGTGAAGCGGTATATAAGTCTAAGCCAGCGGTTCTCAACCTATGAGTCGCGACCCCATTTGGGGTCGATCGACCATTTCACGGGGGTCGCCAAGCAAGGCTGTCCGCCATTTTTTTCCCCTTTTCCGGCGGGTGCCTTACCTCCCTTGGGCTGGGCCAGCTGGTGGTTGGCCTGCTCCATCTCTGCCGCTTGCCAGCTACGCCTCGGCCGGCGCAGGGGGCGGAACCATGCATGCACGGCGCTCCTGGGCAGGGAAAGTCCTCGACTTACGACCGGTTTAGTCCTCGACTTATGACCGGTTTAGTCCTCGACATACGACCGGTTGGGGGTCGCGGCATTAAAAAGATTGAGAACCACTGGTCTAAGCGCTATTGCTATTGCTGCTGTTGCTATTATTGTCATTATTATTCAGGTTCTAACGCCAGCATTGTCCTCCCTTTCTTCCAAGGGAGCCAGATGACAGTGACTCAACTACTTCCCACATCCTCTTTCCATCCCATAGCTATGGCTATATCTGTGGTCCTCTGGCCATTGAGCTGCTGGAAAACGAGGCGCTGGAGGAAGATGAGGATCCCAACATGGTGGAAGGTCCCTGTTCGTCCACCAAATTCTTCCACAGTTCCTGTCAAACTCCATCATCCAGCCTGAGTGAAGACGAGGCCTCTCTAGGGGGATCTCTGGTGAATGGCTGGGGATCTGTTTCAGAGGACAATGGCACCAGCACTCGCTGCAGCCTGGTCAGCTCTTCAGACGGTTCCTTCCTCTTAGATGCCAATTTTGCTCAAGCCCTGGCAGTGGCAGTGGACAGTTTCTGCTTTGGGCTGACCAAGAAGGAAGCTGACAGACCTTTGACAGGTAATAGCCCCTGGCCCTTCCCTTGATCACATTGGAGGGAACCCCAAGCTCTGTTTGAATGTTATCTGTGCTCCATTACAGGGCAAGAGATATATACTTTTCCTTTCTTGCAAAGTCGGTGAGTCTGTGGAGCAGACCTCCTTGGTCCTCTGGGATTCCAGAATGCCTTCAGCACATTTCCAGTTCAAAACTCTAATCCTAGCATTCCGCTTTTAAATTTTAGACTCTGCTAATTGTGTGCCTAAGAAACAAGCTTCTTCTTTCCTATTTTAATCCCCGTTAGGACTGAGAACTACTTTTCCACTTCTCTTGGTGATATTTTTGGAGATGGGGGGAGGATGCTTCTTTAGGGTGCTTTGCTACTATCCATCCTCCAACTCTCTGAAGTTCCCTAAATCTAAAACAAACAAACAAACAAACAAAATCTGCAAAACAAAAATTCTAAGAAGACATCATTAATAATATTTTTTTTTCATTTTTTTTTTAAAAATGAAGGTATGGAAACCCAGGGTGGCAGATTGACCATTGCAAAACAGAATGTTTCATTTCTTGTCCATTTCATTGCTAAGTGAGAAAATAACAAATTCCAGTCATAAGAAATTCACCATCACTCTCTGTTCCTTTGAAAGACATGTCAAAAGCAAGCTCACTTTCATCTAAGGGATGAGAACTAGTAGAAAACATTTTCAGAAGTTTTCTGTATGGCATTCATTTATTTTCCCCCCAAAGAAGTTAAAAGTGCTGGAAAACAAGAGCAGAATGAAGAATTGGAGAAAGGCTGGATCGAAGGGCACTTACTTTGCATCCAGGGGGATCTAAGATAAATCTCCTGCCTGAAATTCTGAAGAATCATTATCTGTCAGTCACAACATTAGGATAAAGAAACCCAGCAGAAAGCAAGTTTTCTGGCTTCTTACCCAGCGTGAATCACACCGAGGCTGGATTATCAACAGATATAGCAAGGCAAATGGCTTCTCTTGTGCTAGAAAAGCTGAAGATTTGCAACTTGTTGAGAAGTAGAACATTTCAATGCACTTTTGTTCGGTTCAGTTAAATAAAATTGAGATCCTTGCCAGTTGTTGCAACACCATTCATTTGTTAGTTAACGTGGTGGCCCAAGATGTTGGCAGGTGAACCCCCCCTTTTCCTACAAGTGTGGAAGCAGAGTAAGTTCCCTTGACCTGCCCAAGGATGGTCTTTGGGAGAGCGAAATGGAGTGGGGTTTGTGTGTGTGTGTGTGTGTGTGTGTGTGTGTGTCTGTGCTCTAGAAAGGACAGAAGATTTGATTTATATGGTATCTTCTGTTCAGGTCTGGACACTTCCATTCAATCTATGTTCCTGATAATAATGTAGGCAGCCAGGAAAGCAGAACTTGATTTATCACTGCAGTAATTCTCTGTTGCTGTTAGAATAAGGATTTTGCTTTGGGTTTTTTTCCCTCTCTCCTTCTACACATTGTGTAGCTGAGAATGCCAAAGTGATGGCACAAGCAAGGAAGAAGAAAAAAAGGCAAATTCAGAAGGAGCAAAAAATAGGCTTCCAGATACAAATATGCAGTCCTGGAGCAAAACAGCCAGATGGCTGCTCCTATGCACCTTCCCTCAAAGGCAAAGATGAGATTTCCATCTTCTCTAATTGATTCCTTTGAAGCTTTTCCTGGCTCTGTCAGTTACTCAGCCAGGTCCCTCTTTGTCATCCAGCCTTAAGCTGCTTGATCCTTATAGCCCTCTCTATCTCACAACCAGATTCCTCTATTTTGTGTTCCAATCCCTGCAGTGCAAAACACAAAAGGATTTAGGATCAGGGCAATTTGAAATTTCCAGGGGGGAAAAAATGAGGGGGTTCAACCTTTGAATGTCTCTTTATCCAGGACCACTTTAGACAGGATCACCTGAATTAGCTGCATTTCCAGAAGACATTAGATCACTCTCTTTTTCAAGCCATTGCAATTTCAGCGGTTCCATTTTAATCTCCTTTGCCTTGTTGCTTCCATATCTTTGTAACTTGAGAAATAACTGGGGAAATATTAAGGTAACTTTCCCTATAATCACCTTTCCCTGAAAACACAAATGTGTCTGCTTTTTTTCCCCTGCTGGGCCAAGAACTGTATTGCAAATTGCAGAAAAGTGCACCATTGTCTTTCCATCTATATATTAACAATGGATTGGTTCACATGTTTACGCACAGCCCAAACAAAGGAAAATGAAACAAATAATAATAATACATGATGGCATCCAATTGGTGTTCAGCTGCAGACAGGAGGCCATCAGTGGAATGGAAGCATGAACTGAAAGCCTCAGGCACCTGTAATTTGCTAGCTATAAATTAATTGTGACTTGAATTTTACCCTGTTGATCATTTCCTTCAAATGCACACATATATCCATTTGGAATCCATTATAGATACTCAAGGTACTTTTGCAGTGGGTTTTTTCTCTCTCTCTTTTCTGCCTTTTCGCTGACATAAATTTATGTTCTGCATGAAACACTCCTTAGAAACAGAGGAACTATTCGTGGTCACCCAAAATATTCCGTACATTTAGTCCTTCCCCCGTTCCAGGAATTCTTCCAAAAATTCTGGTCAATCTTGCAAATTAGCTAGAGTATTCTAAAGCATCTCTGGCTGGGAATGTTGGGACTTGCAGTCCCGAGGTCACTGGATTGTTGAAGGCTAAACAAAATAGTGCCTATTTCTGTACACACCATGTGTTTCCCCTGGGTGCACTTATGCAGACAGTGGAAGCTTCGCCTGTGCTATAATGGGCCATTATAGTTATTTGTTGCTTTTATGTCCTCCAGAAGCTCAAGGTGGTGGACATACTAATTTTGCACTTGCAATAACCCAAGGAAGCCGCCTGAGCTGAGAGATAGCAGCATGTTCTCAATCAATCCATAAGCTTCATGGTGGAGAGAGGATTTGGCTCTCCATTCTAATCCAAAGGACATGGCTTCACATCACAGTTTTCACGGTACTTTGGGGCTCTTGGAAGCTCCACTTCTTATCTTCTGATGCATAGGTGGCGATCATGTGCCTGTTCTCTTCTCCTCTGCAGGTTTTTTGCCTCCTGTATCTCCTCTGGATGGCCTCCTGCATCCCCAGGCTCCCATGAAGAGCTCAGAAGACGTGCAACAGAGGCTCGGATCACAGCCCCTTCCTGTGTGGGAATGGAGCACTGATTGGGTGGAGGAGATGGAAACCAAGTATATGCAACCAGCTGAGAACTGGGAGGCTTCTGTTAAGCCAGGAAAAGGCAGGATAGCTGCACCAGAAGAAGCCCAGCTGGTCCCTACTTCTATCCAACAGGGAATGAATGACAAGTGTTGTTGCTCCAAAGTGGAGGGCAACCTACCAGGAATGCTAAAGCAGTAGCTTTCCTGCTTTGGCTGGAGTTTGGTGTTTGGGATGGGGTGAATTTTGGATTCTTTTTCAGTGCTAGGAGTCTAATTCAGGAAAGCTGCGGTCCTTGCCAATCATCTGTAGAAACAGACAACTCGCCTACTTTCATCTTTTTAGAGAAGGAAGATGCTTATGTTCTTTCCATCCTATTTTTGATTTGATTTTTTTTTTTTAGAAGAAACCAGATTCAATTTTCACCCATCTTCCCTGGACAAATCCAATAGGCCCAGGTAGCATTTCTTGGTGTGGAAAAGAACAAGTTGTGCCTGCCTCCTCTTAAAATTGAGGAATTGGTCAGAAAGCAACTCCGGTTCAGGGCTGAAGTCACTTGGATTTGAACCAGGACTTTAAAATGATACATGTTTTGGTTTGCATTCTGACTGGTGCTAAAGACATGGTATCTGGCTGAGAATGCAGACAGAGAAATATCAAGCGGAAATTGACCAGGCAAATATTACTTTAAGGCCAAGATTTCTGGTCAGTTGGAAAGGAGTTGTAGGCCTAGGAGAAGGAGACAAAGTAGGGTATATGTAGGTCTGTAATGTACCTAGATAACCAATAGGAGCAGTTGCATTTTTTTACTTTATCGCTACCTTTATTTATAGGAGGGGCCACCTAGCAGATGTTGTGCAAGTGGTCAGTGGGAAATGGGAGATTCTGAAGCTTTGAAAACTTTTTTCAGATAAAAGAATGACGGCTGTTGGGGTTTCAAACTCATGCCAAACTATGACTTAGCAAGCTGCTGTCAATCTCCCCCCCCCCCATCTCTTCTGTTGCAAAAGGCACGTGAGCTTGGTTGATCAGGTGCAACAGGTTCATCTTACCTGACCCACTTCTGCCATGTTACACTTGGGGCCAACTGAAATATGTTACTCTGAACAATGGTTTAAATCGTTCTCATTTCTGTTTCTGTTTCTTTTGTATTGAGTAGTTTTGCTGAAAGTCATCTGATTTTGAAGGAGGGAACCTAACTTTTCCTGTCACTTCTGCTTGTGTGGGTCCCTGTGAGTCCAAATAACCAAAGACTCAATGAATTTTTCCCCGAATCTTCAGCCTTCAAGTTTATAATGAGCGGAGGTAGAGGAGGGAGGAATGACCTATTGATTTCCAATGCTGCGACTGAGTGATGGGGGCCTTTCAATCTCCCACACCTTTGCGCCTCAGTGAGCAGGCAAGAGAGATTCAATTAGTTGAATGCCTTGTCTGATGGAAATATCTAGCCCGGCCTTTGCTCTCTGCCATACCCACTTTGGATCAGAGCTTCATCTGGCATTAGAAGGATGGCTGCGTTTCAGCTGCATTCTAGCATTCCATAAAATAGAGTTGAAGGATGCTTTATAGACCAGAGCAAATGACTCGTCCATGGGCACTGAGGAGCCAGTCTGGATAGAGCCAAAGACCATTTGGTCCAACATTTGGGTCCCAGAGTGGCCAGCCAGATCGATTCAAGAGCCTAGCAAGCGTCAACCAGAGGAAAATTGCTCACATCTACTGTCACTACCCAAGAGATAGTATTTGAGATCTGCTTCTTTTGAATTAGCAAACATCCATTAAATCCTATAACTTTTGATAGCCCTTCAATGGAATGAACTTGGCAGTGGCCATCCCTGCAACCCGCGGTAATGAATTCTGTAATTCAGTTTCGAATGTAGATGTGATTTCAGAAGCAACTTTGTGAGGCCCAGTATCCCTCACAAAGGAGGCATTAGGTAACCCTGTTGGTTCATGCGATGAAATGGCTGAGTTATTAGTAAAGAACATTTCTAATAATATTATTATCAGAGCAAGAAGGGCGGTAGCCCAGTCATAAAGCTATAAATTCCATTTGGGTGAATCCTGGATTTTGGTCTTGACATGTATGTTGGATACCACCAGTAAAAAAAAAAAATACAGAAGTTGAAAAGTGTTTGCTCCCATTTCTATACTAAAGCAACCACCCTTTTCATTAGCTCTGTTGTAAACCTTGAACATACATCTTCTGATGCCCCAGGTAGAATGACTCAAAGGTGTGATTCCTGACATGAGGCTGTACCAAAAAGTGACTGTGTTACTGAGAGCGGAAGAGCATCGACTAGTTAAAATGCTGTCAACTTTTAAAGGCCGACTTTTTTCATGACAATCAAAAGGATGCTTCCTCTTGAACCGAACCATTTCAGTGTTCAAGGTTGTGAAGTTTTAGTCTTGCTTAGCTGAAAAAAGATGTATTTCTAAGCAGTGGATTCCATTGGTCAATAGATGCTAGATCAACATATAATAACTCTACTGGAGATAAATAGATTTTGTTTGTATTTCAGCCAAGTTCCCAGATGAATTCTGTGGACTGTTATAGGACATTTTCCTCCACTGGTATATGAGAGAACTAGAATAAACCTCTTTTTTCTAACTTTTCAGATTCCTCCTACCCCATCTCCAAATCCATTAATAGTGAGATGACGATGATGATGATGTTGATTTCCAGGACCTAAGTGTCCAACTCTATCAATTACACAGACTGGATGATCAGCATCGTCCAGTCTGCTCTGGTTAGTTCCCTGGACCCTGGGTCAAAAACCTTTACTGTTTTGAAAGGAAAAGAGGAAGTGGCTGGGGACAGATTGACTTCACAACATAAAAGAGGGAGAGCAATGACAGCACTGCACAGGACATGATTGATGGTGGGGAAGGTGTTCATTGAAGGTGTTCAAAAGCCAAAGTTTTCCCACTACGTTGGCGCCTTTGACTTTCCTTATTGGAATCAGAGTCCTTTAAGTGCATTCTCTTGCTGGTTTGTTAAGTTTCAACAACCTAGACATGGGCTGACAAGTGTCCTCCTTTTTTCTCAATTATTGAGCTTATTCCTTTAGACTGTTTAGGTCAGAGTTCCCCAACCTTTTGGGCACCAGGGACTGGTTCCATGGAGAGAGGTTTTTCCATGGACCAGAGAGTGCATGGTTTTGTGTGCTGCCTGGATCTTGTGGATGGGGCCTTGTTTGTTTGTGTGGACCGGTTGCTGGCATGCCGCGGCCCGGTACCAGTCCACAGACTGGGGGGTTGGGGAACCCTGGTTTAGATCATCTAAACTTCAGAGACCTCTAAGGGGACAAAGCTGATTTGAGCGTCTGTTTTTTGCTACACCATAGATCAACAAACATTCTTTTCCATTAAAGCCAATTGTCTAGGCTAGGGAATGGAAACTGACCCGGGGAAAATGATTTGGCTATTTTTAACAAACTAGTTTTGCAATCCTGGGTGTTAAGTATTGCCCACTCTGATAATTTCAAATACTCAGTGCTTTTTTTGTAAAAAAAAAAAAAAAAAAAAAAAAAGGTGCCAGAACTCACACACGTCATACAACCCGCCTTGCCTCTACCCTACAAGGTTCCATCCAAAAAAGGTGCCGGAACTCCATTCTGGGCGTTCTATGACAAAAAAAGCCCTGCAAATACCGAAGAATACATTTTGGGTTCTTCCACGTTATGATGCCCACTCAAAGGCCTTGTGTGGTTGTGGGGTTTTTTGCAATCTTTTCACCAGCCTCCTCCCAACAGTTCTAGTATAATATTATTTATAGGATGAACAGAAGTAACCAGCCTGCATTACATCTGGCTTGCTAGTTTGGTGATTAGCTGGAAGGATGACACATCCTCCCATGGATTTTTACCCTGCAGGAAGCTACAGTGAGACCAGGGTGCCTATAAGCCATTTTTTCACATGTCTCTTTATCTTTTGCCCACAGAGGCCTCGGTTTGCCAATATTTGAGCCACAGTTTGGCTGAACTGCAGCCTCCAAGGAGATCTCATTTAGCTCTGCTCAATCCTGCCATCTCCATTTTAAATGAACTTTAAAGCTAGAACTGCCTTCCTCAGTTGATCACCTCCAGGTACATTGTAATATCCCTGTCATAGTTCTTAGCCTGCTAGTTTCATTTCATAGTATTGGAAGCTGAGATATAAAGATAATTGTTGACAATTGCAGAGTTGCCCTATGCAATTAGCCTATTCAGGTTTTTGGCCAGTTCTTTCCCACTCCAGTTTATTCCATTTTTCCCCCTACCTGCAGATTTCTGGAGCATTTGATTGGTTAATAGAGAAAGAAGTAACCAGAGGAGCACTGATTTGGTTTGATTTGCAGAGTTTTTCTCATTTCGTCTCAGAAATGCAGGCACTAGAAAGGAGAAAATTATTGATTTAAATTTTTTAAAGATTAAAAACTTTAATAAAACCTAACTTTATATAACCCTGGGCCATTTTGATGGCAGGGATATTTCTGAGCAGTTAGTCATTCTGTGTGCATGTCAGTCCCAGGGGGAACTGTAAAAGAGCAGCCCCCCAAATTTTTGGGAACCAGTCTCCAGTTTGGTGGAAGACAATTTTTCCACCCTGGGTGGAGGGGGTGGAGGAGGAGAACACACAACCTAGATACCTTGCTTGTGCATGCTTGCTCACCTGCTGCTTACCTCTAGCTGTGTGGCCTGGTCCCTAACTGGCCATAGACCAGTCTGTGGCCAGGGGCTTGGGGTCCCCTACTGTAAAAGTTAGATAGTTGCTTGAATAATGCCACAACCACACTAAATATCATTATGCACAGTAAACAGTTTTTATCATATTAATTCTTAAGTGGCAGTGGTGGGTGTTCACTGTTTTTGCCCTGGTTTTTCACTCCTAGCATCTTGAGATGAACTTCAGTTCTTTGTTCCTTCATCTTTCCCCAGGCTTGAAGTTAAAGTCAGAGTGAAAAGTTGGCTTCAGGAGTTTTTATATTCCAGTCAGCCCCGCTGCACTCAGTGAGCTAGATGGGGTCAGGGAGTTAAGTGCCTATGGATAGTTTTAAAAGGATGGATAATTTTATGGCTGTGACAATAATTTTATGAGTCGAGCTTTTGCTTCTTAAGATGAACTAATTAGAATTGGTATTTCAGAACGTCAGCAGAGCACTGGCAAAACTGGGCATGAAGTTTGGGGAACATATTTTATCTTTGGGAGTGACAGCATGATTGGCTTAGCAGTCACTCCTCTCCTGCAGCATCTCATTGGCTTTCTGGAGGTTTGTGCATTCATCCATTTCATTCATCATGATGCTACCAAACTACTCAGGCTAAAGCTGTGGTTTAATATTATTAAAAAAGAAAAAAAACCAAACTCGTAGAAATCATGATAACTCCACTCTCGGT